CATGCAGCTGCAAAGCCATAATGCTTTCATTAAAAGTCACATCTGTGCTGAATTAAAACAGGAGCCTTTTCCAGCCAAGGAGTATTTGTCAGGTTGAAAGTTTTTCTCTTAGCTCCTGAAGCTTTTTTCCAAAATCCAAGGGCTAAGACAGAGAGCAGACCTTGTCACGATCTGGTACCGTGGTTTAAGTACATTCCTGCTGTGTTATTCACCGTCTGGCTCCAATTTGGAGGTACATCTCCCTTGTGTTCACTTTATTAACCTACATATGACTGGCTCTTTTGTTTAATGTGGAAATGAAAAAATAGACGCTCAGCTCAAGAAAAGTAGTCTGAAAACATCTTTTTCCAGATTTTCTTGCGGCATATTAACCAGTTGCATGGAAAATTTGGTGGATAAAATACCTTTTAAAAGCTGTTTTTGATAGTAATCATTTTCAGCTTTACATAAAAAGGCTTAAGCAATCACGAAGTCTTAGTCCTGCCCCCAACTTTTTGAGCCCAAAATTGCCTTCCAAGATACGAAGGTACCAAATCCATGCAAATAATTGGCCAGGTAGAAGAGGACAGCCAAAATATATGCTTCTACTGAGTGTCTGGAGTGTGGGCTCAGCGCTTGTGTACTGTATAGCTAACTGGCCAAATAACATATGTGTATTGGTCGACTAAGCACTGGATGTGTACTTCACACAAAGTCACCACATATGCTATTTCTGATTCATCTATCTGGTAAATGGGGGATCTGGTAATAAGTGAGAGGACTTGAATGAGGACCTGGAGGTATTGTGGGAAGGTTTGTGGGGGGATATACTTGTGGATTGTAGGACACATGCATAGGACAAAAGGCCTTGCTAGCTCTGGTGCTCACAGGCCAGCTCACTTAGAGAAATGTTTACTCCAGAAGGGATGGAAAGCATCAACATTTATCTTTGTCATCTCTCTATTTTGACTACTCCTGTTAGAAAAGGATAGCTAACAGCTGTCTGTATGATGCCCTTAAGTGGAGAGGCCAATGGAGTTGGGTTGCTAAAGTGCTAAAAATTGTCTTCATGAGTTTAATGAAAATTTTGATTTAAATGGAAGAGCAGCAAAGCTTTAAGAAGGAACTAGGAAGAAAAGGCTGGAGAAGCCTTACCAACACAAGAGAAAGGAAAAAAGTACAGTGGGACAAAAAGAGTAAGTTATTATTTGTCCTACCGCACTGCCCAGGAATCCCTGGCACTATTCAGGACTCCTCTGTGCTAAACTTTGTGTGACTGGAGAACAAAAGTCTCTGCCAAAGATCTTAGTCTAGTCTGCCTGAGTAAAATAAATAGTCTTCTACGATTATTTAGAGTTTTACTACACATATATATATAAATTTGCATGCTCTTGGCACTTTAAAAGCATACCAACAGGAGACCAACCTTTATTCTGGAAACAATGCTGTTTCAACTAAGTGCTTCCTTTCCCCACTCTAAAATCCCATTTGCTGATGTCAAGGTCTTTCCTTGTCATATAACTATAGTCTAATTTTTGCCAGTAAGAACTAAGAAGGAAAGTTGTACCAGGGTTTCCGCCAGCTTTTTGGCTGAGATGCTTCATGAGGGAAATATTTTGTTTGAAGAAGACATTTGGATATATTACAAACAGTGCTAGGAGCTTCCCTCCACTGTGGAGGAGAAGGGGGAAACCCACCTCCAACTATATCTGCTTTCGCGAGAAGTGGCAGATTTTCAGAATGTGTTTAACAGTGCTTGCTGGATTTTATATCCCAGGGAGAAATTTTGGCTCTGTGGAAGCCCACAGCAAAACTCTTGCCAGTGAAGCTGAGCGAAGGCAGTGCGTCCTGAAGCTGAGAGGAGGTCATTTCTTCTTTAATGCTCTTGAGTGAGATTTGTTGGGAAGATTTCTCCAGAGTCTGCATCATGCAGGTCTCTGAGCTCGTATAGCCCTGCTCTGCCCATCTTCTCTGTATTGGGATGGATCTCTTATTTCCATTATATATTTTTATGAAAATAAATTTAATCCAAATTTCCCTTCAGGGGCAGGTTTTCCCTGAGGGTTGATGGGTTACCCTTCTCCTCCCTGCAGTTATTTAAGAGGAGAGGAAGATGGAGATAAGTGGGAGGAAAATTGTTTTTTTCTTAGCAAAACCAAGTGATTTATAAAAAATACTGTTAAAAGAGAACTTCTGACACACTCCAAGATATTTCTGCAATTCTTCATTTTCCTTTACCCTATAATATTTCAGTGCCCTGTAGAGCTCAGGAACAGGGGAGGCTTTGTCTGTGTTTCCAGAGATATTCCTGGGGTGGTGACAGTGATCTAGCTGAAGCACTTTAGTATTTCCAGGTTTCAGCTATTGGAAATTTCTTAATTTCACTGTCAGGTGCCAAGACTAAAGAAGTTGAAGGGATTTATTTATTACCACACTGTAGTAATGTTCAGAACCCTCTGTCTCTGTTGGATGATTTGATTCCTGTTCCTGGTTCCTCACAAATTAAAGGAGAGAGGACTGTGGTGCTGTTTCCCACTGTCTGAATTTTACAAGCTGAGAACAGGTATGTAGAAAATTAAAGAGAAGTAACAGTGCTTAAGTACATGGGGTAAACAGTCTGACTCATGTCAACTGTTATCAGTGGAAATTCATGTACAGAAAGGTTATTAATTCAGCGTTTGTCTTATCTTAATATTGATCAGTTTATTTTCATTTTCTATATATTTAACCTTTTAAGCCTCCTGACCCAGAAACAGAAGGTCGTTATTTCCTTAACAAGAAAATTCTTTTGTTTATAGGAATCCTTCTCTTTGTAACTCTTATCACCCATGGTGTGAGTGCAACCCTGCCTTCCCCCCCGCCAACAGATACTCCTTGCGTGATAAGAGCTACAAAGAGAAAGAGTGCCATATACAGAAGAATTTTCTTGTTAAGGTATCAGTATAACGGTTGCTTCACTGAGAAGGAAATGGAGAACATTCTCCCGGGATTTTTTTAGGAGCTATTCAGCATTTCTTGTTGTCTTAATTAATTTCCCATTGAAAATAGATTAAAGGTGAATGCTGTATCTAAGGCCACACTAGATGCTGGAATAATCAACCCTGCTCAAGCAGGTGTTGATGAAGACTTGCATGAAACTTCTTCCTCCTGTGGTAAACCCACAGTGGGGGAAGCACTGGGGAAAAAGCTCCATAGGGCTTACCTGGTAGGTACACAAGCAACAAGGCAATTCTTTCCTTACACCTGTGGAGGGGACAGGTCTGAGAACTTCTAGCACATGCACATGACATTAAATACGAAGATCTCTTTTTATGTTTTCAGGACTAGAAGTTCAATGTCTTCAATGGAAGATGGAGCTCAGCAATTCTGGTGTATTTGAGTCCGATCTTTGCAAAATTCTCAGATCCCATTCACATGCCTCCTACCACTTCACTGCCTTGCCTTTCATCCCCTGTACAAACACAGGTGAGCTGAAATGGAGGCCTGGAGCTGGGGGAGACCAGGGAGGTGAGCAGGGACAGAGAGGGCTGAAGGCACCCTCAGGGACCACAGTGTGTTTTGGTTAGCTAGCCAGGTCAAACAGCATAGGTAACTTGTTCCCAACTTTTCTTTAGGTAGGGATATTAGTTCAGTTTTCTTTCTTCTGTCAAGCCACCAATTTCTATGTGGAACTTCGTATATCTGAGATCATTGTTTGCTATTCAAACTTGGTTGAAATCGGTCAAGTTGAAACTTATTTGGCAGCAAAGATGGATGAGCACCGCTAGGATGGAGGTTAGATGCCTTTAGGTGCTGATAGTGCCTGAGGAGCCTTTACGGGATTGCTGTTTTGAGCATAAGCATCTAGACTTACGTAGCTGATACCTCTGAAGCTTAAGTCTCTTCTTGAATCTGGCTACAAAGGCCTTTGATTTTCAAAAGCATGCCTGTTTTCTCTGCATCTCCATGTACTGATCCATAGGCATGGATTCCTCTCTCTCTCCCACTAAAATGCCGTCTCCTTAGCAGTCATCTTCCAGAAACGGCGTTTACAATATGTACATGTGCTAGACAACTGCATGATCAGGCTTTACATATCTAGGTAGTATTCAAGGTAGAGAGAGGTGATGTTCTCCATTTTTGTATCTGTAGGCTGTACTTTACCACTAGCTTTCTCATAAGAATGTTTTTGACCCCTGTTTAGTTTTGCTTAAGATGAATTTTTATCTCACATTACTGCAGAAAACAAAACTAAGAGTTTCCAGCGGCCTGCTTAAAAAACAACAACAACAAAGTAACTGCAACAGTAAAAAAAGGACTGCTCTTACTAGGTTGCAATCTCAAACCAATCCAGTTTGACTGTAGCCGTAGCAAATTGCTATCTGAAAATGACTGCCCTATTCATCCGTTTAGAAAGAGAGCTACAACTGCACCTATCAGTGTAACTAAATTAGAGCAGGTTCACATAAGGCAAGCCCGCACAAAAATGTACTTATGAAACAGATGTATCCCTCAACAGGAAAATGACAGCAATTCTGATAAAATGCTTTTATTATTTACTTTCAACAAGTATCTATACCTGCAGCTTGACTATTGTTGAATCATTTCAATAATCTTGTTATAAGACCAGCAATAAAAGGAAAAGCACTTCAGTGGGGTGAAACGGCCCAGCTCCTGACACGTTCAGGGGCATGTCAGTGATACAGTGATATTTTTTTTAAACTGGCGACACAAACAGCAGCGTTGTTTACACAGCCCGTGAACAGCTTTGAAGCGGAGCACGTGCCTTGCGTGGAGGGCGGCAGCTGCCGCAGGGGGAGCCCTGCCCGCGGGTGCTGCGGTCGGGGGCGCGCCGGCTTTTGCTTCCTATAGGAACATAAAAAAAAATAGATTAAGTGACTTGAATATGTTCATCTAGGATGTTTGTGGCAGAATAAGGAGTATTTTTAGAGTATTCAATTTTAATCTGCTACAAAATTTCATTCATTCCATTTTAAAAACTTGGAGCAACTTATTTTTATTTGTTTTCTTCAAACTTCCAGGAATATTCACATCTGAAAAGAGATTGAAGCTTGAAGCATTTCAGAACAGCTGCTGAAAATTTCTGAAAACGATAAATAGTGGACGGTGTATGAAGAGTGATTTGAAATGCAAAATTTAACATGACAAAACTGTACTGGTTCTTATGGTAATTCTTTCAGCTGAATATAAAGCTTACTGTTTAGCAGAAGATGTTAAATTATACGCTTTAGTAATGAAAGAGTTATGGCTTCTATAGCAGCAGTACTTTACTCGTACATATTATTCTATACTGTTAAAGCTTTATTTTAAAGTTTCCGAATGTCCGACGTAAGAAAACTAAACTGTGATTGAAATATTAGATTTTTTAATTGTTATATTTTGGGGACCTCAAAGTTATCTTTTCTGTTCCTATCTGTTTATTATTTTGAAGTTATTTCTTTTCATAGTTTATTTTAGCATCTACTAATTGAGAGACCAATAACTACATTTGCAAAGTAACTCTGTATATAATACATAGTTTTCCGGAATTTTCTCCCTTTGCTTCGAAACACGTCATGATTAGATTCTGCCTAAAGGAGAATAATTATTCCGAAAATTAGAAAAAATAAAATAATTTTTTTCTTTTTGTTTTCTTATGCTCTGAGACATTGGAAAGTGAAAAAGTGCACCATATGTTAAAGATGTAAAATTTTAACCTCCACCATTCTGGAAAACAAGATAGATTGCTGAATTTTGAATCGTTGCCGTCAGTGAGGACCACATACTTGGACAGTCTAGGCAGAAGTTAACAATCACAAACATCTTAGGCAGTTGACTAATCTCCTCCCAAGCATGCTCGATGAATATCTGCCAAAATGTTTTAGGCAGCGAATGAGATTACTTCCCCTGTGAGAGCTCTCATTGCCTGGTTGCCCTGCTTAGCCTGAGAGCCCCTAAGGGATGGTTTGACTGGGGGAGATTATAAATATCTCAGCAGAACAGCCATAACACTTACAGTGAAAAGATGGGGGTACAAGGAAGGATGGAGACAGGAAATTGGGGATTTTGCAGGGAAAGGTGTTTTTTCTATAGGGAATTTCCTTTCAGCAGGTGCCTGACTGGACCCTGACTCAGCTCCATCTAGATCTCTTTTTCCAATACGCATGTAAACTTCGCCTTCAGTTTTACCTCTTAGTTCCAAGTACTTTGAGTGCTATAAAGTTGTTTTCTTACAGTGTCATAAAAATTGATTTCTGGTCAAACCAAATACTCTGAAATGCCCATCCAAAGCCCATTAATGGAGAAGCTGATATTGTATCAGTGAAGGCTGGCAAGCATGGGGAAAAAAGGTTTATTCTTTCTGCCTACAAGAGCTATGTAAACAAAAACAAAACATTCTTTCAGAGGAGAACATGAAGAACTGGCAAGGAAACAAAAGTGTAATAGAGAAGATTTCTAGGCCACCCAGCTGCCTAATTACTGGCAGCATCTCTGGATTTTTACAGCATGCCTCTCTAACACAGTCCTTTGGAAAACAAAATGCCATATTATTGCAAAATACTTAAAAATATAAAGCATTTTGTATCCTGGAGACTTCAGCTTTTACCTACCGTGGGATTTTTAAGAGACTTGTACTGCATGTTGAACTAAATAGAGCAACCTACTGCTATCTTTTTATAACATATTAAAATTTAATTTAACAAGATGAGAGAATTGAGAGTCTAGTTTCATTTTCCAACTTGATCTGGAGGACAGTGGTGACATTATTCACAGTTTCCTGGGGACAATAATGAAACCCTGGGTTTTGTACAGCCTTACACTCACAGTGTCCATACTGTGTTGTTGTGGAATTATTTAGCAATTCCCATGAGTATTCTCAGCAATGTTTTATATCTGATTCGTTAACAATACTATTAAGACTTGATGGGGTAGAACTAGGCTTTTTGAGTCCTGCGAGCAAACTGTATTAAGATGAAATACCAGCCTTAAAAATAGAAAGGAAAAAAGAAACCTGTAGGAACAACCAATAGATTTTATTCAGTTTCCTACAAATGTGGCCCTGTCTGCTTGTAGATAGGAAAGACCTTCAGCTGTTCTAATAATACATTCCTAATCAGAAACATCTGTATAAAAAATGCAGATGTGTGTAACTGTAAAACTATTTCAGGCTTTTTTAAGGTTTCTGATTTTGAATCTTTCCAGTCTTTCTGGGTTTAGAAACCAATGCTGAAAATACATTTCTTTATTAGGAAAAATCTCTTCTTTCCAGATCTGAACAAAAATGCATTACTTTATTTTTTCTCTAGTTACTGCTCTCCCATGATGCATTGTTGATGCTGTTAATACTTTTTCATGTATTAAACTTTGTTATCACAGTATTACTGGGGGAGTAATTGCAATCCATTTATATAAGCAAAAAAAAAAAAAAAGAAGAAGAAAAAAGGGTGAGTTACTGCTGTCTCCAGTGACTAGTTTTAATTAACTCGGGCTTCATCTACATTATAAAAATGAGCACTTTTTAAATGGCTGTGAAATAATCTTATGGCTTAACTGTATTTATAAAATGTATTTCCACTTTTAATCCAAGAAACTAACCAGCGATTTGGACATCTTGCAGATCACTCTAGTTAGGAAGAAAATCATGTTAGGTATGTTCCGTATAATTCTGTTTACAAGAACATACTTCTATCCTGTGCCACTAAGACAGAAAGATTGTTGCCGGGGATGTTTGTCTTTTCTTACTTGTATCTTTAGGTCTGTTCCAGACAACACCATCTGACCTAGACGGGCTTTTCTTCAGGGCCTCACAAAAATCATAATTGTGGCTATATCCCAAGCTGCTCCCTCTGTCTCTAAGCATATTCTTTCTCTCTCCCATCCTCATCCACTCCTACACACAGGGGTCAGCAAAGCCTCGGCATCTACATAAGCTAGATTCCTGAAGGGATTTACATATTTCTGTGTTTGGGGTTAGGAGATTATTACAGTCATTACCTGTTTCCTGGTATGTTTCTTGACTCCTTTCTTGCAAGTAAGTTTCTTGCCTCCTCCCAGACATCTGAAACATCAGGTCAGTAGTTACGTATACCAGTCTTAACAATACTTAACCCAAGCTCCAAAGGTTTTTCTCTGTTCACTGACAGCTAAGACCATTTTTATTATTTCTTATAAAGCCATCTTTAAACCTATTAGATGCCTAGCTTCCGTGCGTAGCAACTTTAAGTCAGGGTTTGCAAAATGGTTGTCCTCTGGCCCCCATGCTACACAACTAAGCTAGTTCAGCATAGGAAAAAAAGAAGGAAAAAAAATAGTCATGTTTTTGCAAACCGTGTATCCTACTCGCATGATCTGTCTCGTTGAATATGATTTTTCATATTCAACAGATACAAGGCATGAAAGCAAAACCACTAGCAATGCATGCTCTCTATTGAGTGTCCCAATGTGTTCACAAATTGAGCTCTGCTGTTGGCACATCCCGTTGTCCTCAGAGTATCAGAGACTGCAGGGACGAGCTAATTCCAGCAGGAGGAAAGCATGGTGTTTTGGCTGATGATACTCTTTTTTCTGCTTCTGATTATCTACATATATTATTGCAGCAAGGTCGTTACGCTCTATACAGACGACGATTATCACTTCGTATTTCAGAAAAAGCATTCCAAACTCATTGTCTCACATGACTAAAAATGTCATTTTACTCTTCAACATACATTGATTATTCTCACAAACCCAGATTATAAATAGGACTGCTGTGAAGGATGCTAGATAAAGGCATAAGAAGTGATCATCAGCTGTTAGCCTGTTAAACCAGGACCTGGCCCGGTTCAGATGTAGCAGGTGCATTTTTGTTGCCCAGACTTCTCAGACATACTTTCAATTAGATCAAATGTGAGTAAGTGCCTGGTGACATACGACAAACCTGTGTGCTACAGTGCTATGTCTTCTGCTCATACCTTTGTAACAGTGTAATTATAGCCTTTAGTTATTTTAAACCTCTGGAACGCAATGGAGAAAAATGCTTGCAATAAGTAATGTAGGTTTGTTAATTGTTACTCATTGCGTTAAATCTTTGGTATTTGTGGATTGCCTGCATAGACTGGGTAGCTGTATTCTGTCTCATTTAAAAAAAAAACCCAGAAAATATTACATTGTTGCCCTACAGTACTTGTATTATTTTGGGTTGCTATGACATTGCTGCACATAATACAACATAATGGCAACAGAAAGTTAAAAAGCCTTCTGGCCTGGGAGAGTGTTGACGTAAATAGATAATGAAGCTTTCCATTGTATACTATGATAATAGCATAGAAACAAATCTTTATATGATGGTAATTTTGATTTATATATTTCCTTAGATTTATATAAGGAATATATTCATCCTGATTCTGCAGCACAGATAATTGCATATAAATTCCTCATGCCAAGATATCTGAGCTAATATCTAGAACAAGATCTTTTTCACTTGTTCAACCCATTTAGCCACTGAATAGGGTGAACCTTTTTTAACCTCAAACCTCCTCACCATCCCAGATCTTTTGGAATGCTGACTTTTGAGCTCTTTTGCAATCAGGCAAGAGAAGAATTTTATTTAGGCTCTTTGCATTACAAGTACTCTGTTTTTCGTGGATAAAGAATTAAGAATGGGCATCCTGGAAGCTCAATGCTTTATGAAGCACTTACTGCAGTAGTATGACACCAAAAAAGAGATACCTTCCTTTGGGGCTCAAGTTTCAGTCAATTAAAAAAATTCTTGAAGCCCACACCAGACAACAAACTACACAGTCAGCCAGTCGGCACAAACTCTGGCAGCAGTATCAACCACGTACTGGAGGCCCCATGGTTGGTGTGACCCTGCTGACAGGGCGATCAATTTTTTTCAGCCAGATATTGAGAACAGACCTGATCTTCAGGTCTCAGACATGCAGAAGCAATAACACAAGTCCTCCTTCCTCCTCCCTCCTTCCTCCAACCCTGACAAGTGCTCCTTCCTGGTGCATCCATCACCTTTATCTCTCTGTTATCCATAAGTGAGTGAACTATATGTTGCTTACTGGAAGGACTCAACTTCACATGGCATAAAAGAGCTGAGATTCTCCAGTGTTACTTTCGAGAATTCAGGATTACAGTGCAGGCAAATTTGCTGAAGGGTATAAGGCATGATGAAGGTGAAGTTCGCTGTTAAGGGAGCTGTAAGGTCAATCCCATAAATCGGAGTAGATGTCGGCTAAGTCCACCATCCAATGAAGCCATGGGGCTTGCCAGTATACTTCTTTCCACAGGGAGCAAAAGGATTGAAATATTTGGATTGCATCTCCTCCTCCCAACCAGTTACTACCCGAAACAGTTTAAGGTAATAGTTTAAGGTTAATAGTTTAAGAGCAATAGCAATGCTTTCCATTGGCCTCCAAAACAAACTGTAAACTGGTGCAACCTGAGAAGCACTGCTGTAAGTATATTACCTGGCTGATACAGCAAGTAAGCACACAGGCTATTCTGCTCTAAACAAACTCCAAGTCAATGGGAGATCGGGAGGACCATCTCCCCTCCTCCCCCCACCGAAATTTGTGAATAATGTAGGCATTAGTTAGAAGAAACAAAAGCTTAAAAAAAAATCATTTTTTCCCCAAACACCCCTTTCTCCTACACTCGCTTTAACTATTGGACTGAAAATCCATTATTTGACAAATGCCGTTATTTGACAAATTCAAGTTAGCAGCAAAGAGAAAGACATCAAATCAGCTCTTCCATGCAGAGGACTTTGGAGGTGCTATGATACAGGGAAACAGCTTATTTGTCTCCGTTGCAGCTGGCCCATATCTTTTCAGAAATATTTTATATGTTAAACTGAGAGAAGAAACTTGTGGTTTAAGAAGTCTTCTTGATTCATTTGACAAAGGTCACCCAAAAAATGAGCTGACCCAGGAGCGTGGCACAAAAACAATAACAAGAATAAGCTGATAGCTGGTGATACAGATACTGAGGAATCAAAGACAGTGGTAACGTCCAGTCAGACCTTGGCAGCACCGTGGTAGTCTCTTTCAGTGATCTCTGAACTTGATGGGCACCTCTAATATCCTGCATCACAAAGAAAAAAACTGATCGATTTGCCAGAAGCCATAAGGAGAGATGTACAACCACTTTGTCAATCTTCAACCATATAGTCTAATAAAACATATGTAGAGAGTAAAGGAAATTAGAAAGAATTATCCCCTTTAAGCTTTAAAAAGTTAGTATATACATTTTCAGGCTTCATGAGCAGCCTGTATATTATTCAAGTTAATATGTATCTTTGAGTGACATTAAAAATAGCATTCTGATCATATGACAAACCAGTTGCTATAGTAACCACATTTTTTGCTGTAGAACAGCAAAGTAATAATGTGTAAAATGTGTAAATTATCAGCATGTAAGAGCAACTGGTGCATCTTTGCTCTGCTTTTTTGCTTAAAAATGAATCTTTCTATGAATATACGTATCTCATTCATGTATTTTCATAACACTCTTATTGCTGGCTTCATCTAATCAGTTGGCCACCCTTGTAGCGCTTAAGTGAGATGTGACATTTCAGCCAAAAGAAAAAGGAGCAGAAGAAGAAGAGATTATGGACTCGATCCAGAGCAGGAAGGCTTGTGCTGGTTTTGATGGACTTTTCCT